ATTGACCTTCATTGCAGCAAAGCAGTTCTACTGCCCAACAAGGGAAATAACCTGCTGCAAATTTTAGAGTAAAATTCATGTTTTGAGAAATCTGGAAAGAGCTAATGTTAATGATTTAATATTTGTAATGATCAATGTAGTGATATATCTCTTGTAGCACCCTACACACCAGTTCAGTCTACAGACCATTTGTTTCCTGGTACTTGGTACCTGACAGAAATAGACAGTAAACATAGGAGAACTTACCAACGGAAACAAACAGTACCAAATGGTAACATTTGTGAGGTAGAAACACAAGTAAGCACATTCATAGTTTCTTCTTATTTTCAAAACAGAGGGTTTTGACCTGCTAAGTGCTCAGTTTTAACTTTAAAAATTTGAGATAAAAAGGATATGGAGTGAATGTTTATCAGACATATTCAAAAGATAAACCTTTTCATTTTGACAATTACAGGAAGGTCTGCAAGAATGAACGTAAAAACTCACATCTTTTAAATAGATTGATTTAATTTGTACTATTTGATCCTCAAATAATGAATGTCAAGAAGGGGAATTCTAGAATACTCATGGAGCTTAATAACCAACAGGAAACTAAAAATCATAGTGTTAACCTTTTAAAGTGGTAAACTTTGCCTTAGTGTGTAAAAATCTTAATAAATCAAACTTCAAGTTATGCACATGATTTCCTAAATCTAACATATCAAATATCTAGGCAGTTTTTTTTTAAAAGAAGAAATTAAATTTTTATTTACAACAATTTCACTGAAAGTAAACTACTTCAATGTTTTATTTTTGTAGGTGGCCAAAGGCATAAGATGACATAAAGATTCATGGCTTTTTTTAAGAAATTCATGACCTGCTGTGATAACCAAAAATGAATTGTATAAAAATTATAATAAAATACTTATGCTTAATAGAAATTTTTGTATTCTTTTAGACATAGTCTGTGTTTTATACCGTACTGTCTATTGCTATTTACATTGTATAAGGGATGTCGGTGAAGAATTACTAATCAAGTACCGAGCAATACTCATGTACTAACTCTAAAATATATCTACAAAATGGAAACACAAATTATACCCATTTTACGCATTGTGGGTATTATGGATGTAAGACCCTCAACATTAATATCTAGGACCAAGGAATTGTATATTTAAAAGGAATGGAAACATGGCTCGAGATCAATTGGGATACCCACAGAGCTATAATCCATGTCTGACTCGGTCAGAAGTATGATGAATAATATAAAGAATCATGACGGAGGTCCATTTCCTGTCATATAGATCGGTCTTTAAAATTCACTGGGTCATCTTGCTTGAGAAGATATAAAGGAGAGAGAAACCCAAATCAAGAATAAACTCCTATTCCGTGAAAAAGGTAAGGCCTTAGGTATCATTTTAATGCCTTTTCGAACATACATTTGTAATATTTTATTATGAAAATTCTTATTAAAATAGACCTGGGTCTTGAAACTTGAGTGAGTTGCATCCGTATTACAAAACAAAAAATACAGTGTTTTGATTTTTTCTAAAAGCTCCGCAACTACGTAGGGCAAAACAAAATAGTTGATATCATTATGAAGCTGAAACCTTATTCTAGCACTTTTGCCCTTTTTTTAAGTTTCTGGTAATATTTCTGAATTTTTCTACGATTTTTCGAAATTTCACTTTTGAATTTCATTATTCTGCCAAAACATGTCTTTCATGTAATACGATTTTTTTTTAATATTGGAAAGTAGAAAGAACAAAGTGAGAAAATGAGATATCATTTTAAAGAAGGAATATTTTCCTACAGTTTGGTCTAAATTACGAATGCTAAATGTTATTGGTACATTGTAAATGATTTTATTTCAAAACATGTTGAAAATTTTAAGTAGTGCATCAATAAATACACCAACACGCCGTATTCTGGAAAGGGTTAAATAACTACTTGAAATAGATGTGACATTGACATACAATTTAAAAGCTTAACCTTTTTTCTATCACATAGTGTTGGTTTTATGAAAATGGTGATAAAAACGAATTTGCTATGATTTTTCAAAATCCCATGTTTATAGTTAACATTGACGCCATTTTGTTCAGTCAAGTTCCACACCGACGAAGTCGGAAATTCCAGGCAAGAAATGTATAATAGACTTCCGATTGGGATTGATTGTGCCGTTTTATACACGATTTTATTCATTTATTTTTTCGTCAAATACTATTTTTTATACTTAATCGTTGTTTGGTATTGCAGTTTGCCATTATTAAGCGTTGCCTCAAATTACCATACGCTTAACAACAAAACAGTTCCTCCCTTTTTTTCTCGCAGAGCAGTAGTCTAGAGGTCGCAAAGTATTCCTTTGGTGTTAAAATAAATAATATGTGAATGTGTGAAAGTTTCAACTGTTTCTAATTAAATTTTTTATTGCACCAGGTCATAATTACGCATTAACAGGTGAGCTCGGCATGATTCATTTTTGACATTTTAAGTATATAAGACACAAATTAGCTTATCAATGATACATGATAGATTATACCTGCAAATTGGATATCCCAAACCGTTGTTTATTATAGCACGTTTATGCTAAGTTCTTTTATCTAGATAAAATACAATATATGTTCTCGTACTTCTTCCTTTATACTTTTCTACACCAGTCATATTCCAAATTTGAAATTTTTTTTTTTTCCTTTTTGCATTACTGTAACTTTCTTTTTAAAAACTCGTATAATGTCTGATTTCATCTTATTGTTGCATACCTTCATCAGAGACATATATAATACAATATGTATTATATGTCTCTGCCTTCATGACAAGGAAAAAGAATAAAACGTTTTTCAGAAGTAACTTTGTATAAGGTTGTATTGTTATATTGTTGTATTTTTTGTTTGTTATTTCATTTAAGGAATTGACCATTTAAATATACAATTCTTTGTTTCACTTCGTGATTAAATGACCCAAGTTTGATAACTACTGCCAGATAAGTAATGAGCCAGTTAGAGCGACGGAATGTAATTAACGCACCACCCGAGACAGAGATGCATCATAAAATTTTCTTTGAAGTCGGCCGCTTTTCCATTCCTTTTAAATATACAATTCCTTGCTAGGACTAGATAATAGTCCCAGGACTTTTATATTACAATTGATAGCTCATTTAATATACTTTATATAGACATGTACTTATTATTTAAACAAAAATTTAATTATCACCTAGTGAAAAATGATTACAAAGTCAAACCAGATCAAACAACAGTATTTGGTAATCTTAAAGAAACACAATTCATGATTAACAAAGGGGTGATGATTAGAACTTACTTGGTTTAACCTTTTTCATGAGGGTCACCACAGGGTGCAACGAATTTGTTCTTGTGTACTTTTTCTGGGCAGTCAGTTTCTCAGCTTTGTTACATAACTAACAGTCCTGTAGACAAAATTATTCAAAGCTTTTGTGGATTCTGGATAATAATTGGAGAACCTCTTTTTGATATTGATTGAAATCTTAATGGAATGCTTTGGACCCCTTAACCTTTTGATTTTCATCATTTTCAATTCATTCCAAATTTATGGTTTTGATTGTAGGCAAATTTTGAAGACTTAGGAATCTCATGACATTTTGTTTGTCCAGTGTTAATGTGGGGTCATGGGGTATGTGAGCATGCTCACAAAGGTTCTTTAATTCGAACTGATTCAAAATTAATGGAATGGTTTGGAACACTAAACAAAATCGTGATCTCTCAGTTGCTGTGGGTAGGAGTATCTTTGATAACTAGATCACCTCTCTAGTTTCCTATTATCATGAAAACTAGATACAGTAAACTTTAACAGATACAGAGAAACTTTAAATGGCAAAAATGATTAGCTAGACAAGATCTATAAACAAGTCTCATTTCTGAACCTTGTATTGAAACTGGAACTTGAAAATTGGTTAAACGACAAGATTAATACAAAAAAAGAAGGAAATTAGGAAACGGTCTCTTATAGGGCCTTTGGGGTTAAAATTTGTTACACGTCAATACGCTTGATTCCAATCATTATCTTTCCCTCAAAATGTTTGGTTTTGGGTGACCTTATTTGGATTCATTTGTGCGTTTTTGGGGCGTAAAATCATTGTTAAAGAGCAATAACTCATAAGGTGTCAACTGACAATTTCTGCCATCTTGACAAATTTGTAGATCTTGTACATGTTCTGTTGATCATTGTTTATGTTTACAGTTTTTGTCGAGCCTGCGACTTTTGTCGCAGAAAGCTCGACAGGGATAGTGATCCGGCGGCGGCAGCGGCTAAGGCGGCGTTAGCTAACTTCTTAAAAGCTTTATATTTTAGAAGGTGGAAGACCTGGATGCGTCATACTTTGTATATAGATGCCTTATGTTACGAAGTTTTCATCTGTCACATGTCCATTGTCCTTGACCTCATTTTCATGGCCCAGTGACTACTTGAAAAAAAAGTTGTGATTTTTTGTAATGTTAATTTCTCTCTTATTATGAGTAATAGGATAACTATATTTGGTATGTGCGTACCTATCAAGGTCCTCATGCCCGTCAGACAGTTTTCACTTTGACCTTGACCTCATTTCATGGATCAGTGAACAAGGTTAAGTTTTGGTGGTCAAGTCCATATCTCAGATACTATAAGCAATAGGTCTAGTATATTTGGTGTATGTAAGGATTGTAAGGTGTACATGTCCAACTGGCAGGTGTCATCTGACCTTGACCTCATTTTCATGGTTCAGTGGTTATAGTTAAGTTTTTGTGTTTTGGTCCATATTCCTTATACTTTATGCAATAGGTCTACTATATTTGGTGTATGGAATGATTGTAAGGTGTACATGTCCAACTGGCAGGTGTCATCTGACTTTGACCTCATTTTCATGGTTCAGTGGTCAAAGTTAAGTTTTTGAATTTTGGTCTTTTCTTATACTATAAGCAATAAGTCAACTATATTTGGTGTATGGAAATATTCTATGGTGTACATGTCAATCTCGCAGGTTTTATTTGAACTTGACCTCATTTTCACGGTTCATTGCTCAGTGCTAAGTTTATGTGTTTCAGTCTGTTTTTCTTAAAACTATAAGCAATAGGTCAGCTATATTTGTTGTATGGAAGGATTGTAAGCTGTTCATGTCTGCCTGGCATGGTTCATCTGACCTTGACCTCATTTTCACGATTCATTGGTCAATGTTTAGTTTTCTTGGTTAAGGTAGATTCATGGTATACCGCCATCTTGGATTGTACAATCGCAGTACAAAATCGGTCTAGTTATTTGCCCAAATCTGCAAATTTGGAGACAGATTTGCAATTTAATGGTTAGACTATTTATTTATATAAAGAAGATTTGGTTATTTATTGTATTATTCAAAATATTTAAACAAATATCATTTTTTTTGTGTTTAGAATCATTTTTTCAAATGAGCCATTTAAGGGGAGATAACTCTTTTAGTAAAAAATTTATACTGGACTAATAGGGAAATTTTTAATTTTTACTTGTAGCAAGAAAACAAGTTCGGTGACCTCATTTTTTCTTTTTATTTTCTTAAAACATATTATAAAACCTATCTTCTCACAATTTATTTCAAAATTGTATCTCATAGAAATTTTTTTATGCACACAAATGTGTTTTTTCATGAACAATCTAACCAAATTTAGGCAATTTTCAACGACTAATAGCTTGAAAAATAGCACGGTGACCCATACTTTTTATTATATTTTTGAAAAGAGCATAGTAAAATCTTCATTTTGGCAAATTATAAAAAAATTCTGTCTCAAAAAATATATACTTATGATCTACCTTAAGTCTGTTTCTTAGAAACTATAAACTATAGGTCAACTATATTTAGTGTATTGAATGATTGTTAGGTGTACATGTATTTCTCGTTTGGTTTATATGACCTTGACTTCATTTTCTTGGATCATGTTAAGTTTATGTAATAGTTGTAGTAAAGCTTTCATTTAGGACTATCAACATAATATCAATGGTTAGTAAAGAAGGCGAGACATTTCAGCGTGTGCACTCTTGTTTTATCTACTACTATTTATTTGGCCAAATATGCAATCAAAACAGGTAAAAATAAAAATTATCATTAAAGGGCAATATCTTTTATAAGGAACAACTGACAAATTGTAGATCTTGTACTGTTGATCATTTTTGCTACGTAAAGTTTCTCTTTATCTATTACAGTTGTCAAGATAATATGTAAAAACACGAAAAATAGAAAAAAAAACATCAATGAGGGGCAATAACTTCTATAAGGAGTGGACCCAGGATTTTGTCATGTTGACTTTTGATGAGATCTTGTCTTGAGATTCTGGTCAGATTTTCTCTATAGCAGTTATCAAGATAATAGACAAAACTTGCATTTTACCCATATGTTCTATCTTTAACCTTATCGGCCATATAAGTGGGAGGCGTGATCATCTGACACATTTTTTTAAAGAAGATACCCTAGTGATGATTGTGGCCAAGTTTGGTTCCAATTGGCCAGATAGTTTCAGGGGAGAAGATATTTGTAAAATATTACGGAAGACGAATGGAGACAGACTTTCAACAATGAGAAAAAAACCATATTGATAGTTGACTAGTACTCATTACTTCATTCTTCTCAGACCACTTTTAGTTGACTTGTTAAAAATTATATATACTGTCATTGGGATGTATAAATATCCTGCCATGTCCGTTCTGTGTTTTTGTTAGATGTTTTTCTGCTTTGTATCAATCTGATGAGTTAAGTCCTTTTCAATTGATTTTTATACGACCGCAAAAAATGTTCGTTTGTATATTGCTATCATGTTGTCGTCGCCTGAAGACATTTGGTTTTGGGACAATAACTTTAGTATAAGTGAATGCATCTCTATGAAATTTAACGACAAGGTTCAATAGAACAAAAGGAAGGTCGGCATTGATTTTGGGGGTTATGGTCCCAACTGTTTAGGAATTAGGGGTCAAAAGGGGGCCAAAAAAGGCATTGTTCTAGTTTCCGGACAATAACTTGTGTATAAGTGTATTGATCTCTATGGGGAGGGAGTAACAATGTTTTTCTTGTTTCCAGACAAATACTTAAGTATTAGTCAATGGATCTCTATGAAATCGTACCACAAGGTTCCATACCACACTCAGAAGGTTGGGGTCATTTTTGTGGGTTGTGGCTTTAATCATTAAGAAAACTAGAGGACAAATAGGGGCCAAAAACAAGACTTTTCTTATACTGGCTAAGCTGGTTCTAACATAAATTATTTCTGATCTACATAAAGAAACAACAAATACTGATATGGCAGGAGATACACACCAAACAGGGTGTGTAAATTATTATATTTAGTTTGTAAACAGATTTACTAAGTATTGTGCAACAGCAAAGTATTGCACAACAGCAAGAAAAATTCAATTGAAAATAAATACAAATCTTTTAACCAATCTCAATGAGGATTAATTTAAAGTCTGAATTGTTTGAGGTTTTCACTATGTATTACTATATTGGATACTTGGACATTTTTAAATAGGTCTACATTGAGGTCCAAAGGGTCCAAAATTAGACTTTGTTTGATTTCATCAAAAACTGAATTCTTGTGGTTCTATGATATGCTGAATCTTACTGTGCATTCAGATTTTTAATTTTGGGCCCTGTTTTCAAATTAGTCCATATTAAGGTCCAAAGGGTCCAAAATTAAACTTTGTTTGAATTCATGTTTTTTTTTTATATGCCGAATCTAACCATGGAATTAGATTTTGGATATTGGACCATAAAGTAGATTAAATGTCCCATTTCAAATTTTTAAGTTATCTGACCACATTTATTTTGTGTCAGAAATCTACAATGTGTCAAAATTTAATTAATATCCAAATTCAGAGCTGTATCAAGCTTGAATATTGTGTCCATACTTGCCCCAACTGTTCAGAGTTTGACCTTTGCGGTTGTATCCAGCTGCTCCAGGCGGAGCGCATTTTCAAAGTTTGTTTTTATGTTGTACTGTTGCACCAATGTCCTGTGGTTATGGGGAGTGTTTGGCACCAACAAACTAGTTTAACCCTGCCACATTCTGTATGTGCCTGTCCCAAGTCAGGAGCCTGTAATTCAGTGGTTATCGTTTGTTGCAGTATATAATTTGTCATTTAGGGGCCTTTAATAGCTGACTATGCAGTATGGGTTTTGCTCATTGTTGAAGATCGTATGGTGACCTATAGTTGTTAACTTCTATGTCATTTGGTCTCTAATGGTTAGTTGTCTCATTGTTAATCATACCACATCTTCTTATTTTTATATTGTGTCAAAGTGATTACTGCTAAAGTGGAATTTTATGTTGTTGCTTGTATTGATAATTTTTTCCAGTTACACCATGAAATATGATACCTTCAAGTATTGGTTTTTGCTAAAATAAAAACTCATTTTAAATTTTTATAGCATTATTTCTATCCATCATTTCCCCAAATTACAATAACTAATCTTGTTCATTGTCTAATAACATTAACGGTACGGATTAATTATTTTACTGCACCAGATGCCCATTTCGACAATAAAAGAGATGTGAAACATAGTAAAGGGACATTCAAACTCCTTAGTCAAATATAAACTGACAATGCCTTGGCAAAAAGAAAAGGACAAAAAGATAAACAATAGTATACAAAACACGACATAGAAAACTAAAGACAGGGAAACACGAACCCCACCAAAAACTGGGGGTGATCTCAGGTGCTCTTGAAGGGTAAGCAGATCCTGCTCAACATGTAGAACCTGTCATGTTGCTAATGTAAGAAAAAATGTCTCTTCAGTGAAGCTTGAAGCCAAAATATTTGAAAATCCAAAAAACTGAAGAGCTGGTAAAACCAAAAAAGACAAAAAGTGTAGCCCAAGCCAACAAACACAATAATAAATGCACACACAAATTTTAGAATTTATAGTAATATAAATCACACCATTATGACACACTTAAAGATTCTACGAAAATGTCCTGTATTTTTTTTAGGAATTACAGATGTGGGGCTTTACATCAATGAACCATAATCCTTACACTATGAAACAAGAAAACTCAACCGAGTGACAGTGTGCAGCATTTACCATATATATGTCTAGCCCTTAATCATCCAGACAAGTTCCATCTCAATTATTCAGAGACAACCAGATTCATTAAGGATAAAAACACTAAATATATAAGTAAAGACAACCACTGACAATGTTCATGACTATAGTCCCTGTTATGTTAAATCAGTAGCAAATTTTTATCAAATATTTTTTAAACTATCAATCCTGTAAATATAGGGACAGACACATTAATTTTACCTGGGATGTGGAACTACTTTCTGTTCCCTTAAATAGATTAATAATATTCTTTAGAAACACCATGAAAGATGGATTACACTTCAAAAATGATCATTCAGTGTGTATAATTAAAAAAAACTACAATATATACTCAATCCAACAAATTTTCAACAGGTACAAAGTCAGGTTCCTTTTTTAAAACAGTCAATAGAACTGAGTACAAGGGACTGTTGATTAACTTATTGTTACAAGATTACTAATTGTTGTGTATATATTGTAATTTGTTTTTTGTTTTGTCACAAGCTTTATCTTATATGCTTTACAACAATAAAGATTATATTAAAAAAATAATCATATATGATAGTCTAAGTTATCATATGGTGGTCAAATTTTTAAATTATTATAACTTGCGCAGTAAGTGAGTAACTACCAAAAAAAATCTCATTTCCAGACAAACAGTATGATATATTTTGGTTTGTATGAACAAGAGTTCAAAAGAGGACCTTTTTATAGGTTATGTAAGTTTGTTAAAAGCAGATTATGAAAGATTAGTGAAATATGTAGATAACCGTTATCCTGTCAAGATATCATATCTTGTATTATATTAATAATGATGAGCTGTTGTTTTCAAGTTCACTGTTCTCAATGATAACAAATGATATTAGGATTGTCAGCTGTAAATATGTTTGTGCAATACAAATTGTTAGCTGTAAATATATTTATGAAATACGTATTCAATATCATAAACATATAAGCATTGACATATGACAAATAAAAAGATTGGGATGCACTGTTGTAACTAACTAACTAACTAATTTTATCCAGTATAAAATCCAGTACAAAAGGATCACCGCTGAAATACATGAAAACATAGAAAAAAGAAAATAAAAAAGAAACAACAATTTTGTGACGTATAACAAGCAATAGACAAAACACACACACACATCAATTATGCAATTATTCCCATTGATGAATTTCTAATTATGATACATTTGTCTTTATATATAAGAAATCTGTTGAGAACATCAGTCTCTGTACAGCTCATTAAATATTTAAATTTATCAAAAGTATCAAAATTACAAAAACATGGTATAATATTAACAATGTCATGTTGTATAATGTCATGCTAAGATTCCCCCCCCCCCCCTTTTACCCATTTTTAAGTTGGTATTATATATATGTGAATACAGGAGATGCTGAGTAAAAGCCAATAAGACAGAATCTTCAACAATAGACAAATGTCTATATCATATGCCTGTAGTCAAGACAAACCACAATACATTTTCTATTAACAGACACAACCGAAGATCTGTCATGCACACCTTAAATGAGTTGAAACCATGGTGCTCATTACCCAAGTCCCACTTTTTTGTAATTTTTTCACTCTTCCATTGCTTTTTTCTATCTTTTTTCCAGATCCCACGTTTTTTACTCCCTATATTCCACATGCCCACTTTTTTAAACCCCTATATCCCACATTTCCACTTTTAACCCCTATCCCACTTCCAGAAAGTGTGTCATCCCCCTCACCATAATCTTTAAATTACAAGTATAATAACTAATGGGCAGCCACATTAATATTTAGCGTTACACTAGTTTTATAATACTCATTCATCCCCCTTATAGTGATTTGATCTCGCCAGTAAACCAGAGCTGTTCTGCTTCACAGCAGCAGGTGTTTTCAGTAAATTATCAAACAAGCATACAAACATTCTTTTTTTATGGAAATTTCAAATGTATGGGTTTTTTCTTAATATATGTTTAACTAATCATGTTT